CCTTCTTCACCTGCTGGACCAGCTGTAAGGCCCAAGAGGCGCAGCAGGTCAGATGGGGAAGACACTGAAGTTGAGGATGATTTAGCTGGACCCAGTGAAGCAGCAGGGTCACCAGGATTCACACTGAGGAGATCAGCGAGGACAAGGAGGCCTCCTGATCGGTACGACGCTTCAGGCGTCTGGGTAGGTTCTGCATGATGTGAACCTGAATCCTTTGAGGATATTCAGAGTTTACCTGAGGAAGAAGCAGGCAAGTGGCACAGAGCAATGGACAAAGAGATGAAGTCCATGAAAGATCTAGGTGTGTTCTCACTCAGAGTTGCCACCGGGCAAGCAGGCTGTGAGTTCCAGGTGGGTTTACCGCTTGAAACCCACTGACGCTGGAGAGCCGCAGTATAAAGCCAGGTTAGTTGCTCGAGGATTTACTCAGAGGAAGGGAATACACTTCACGGAGGTGTATTCGCCAACGTCACGAGCAGAGACTCTGAGAACGCTGTTAGCTTGTGCAGCACAGAGAGGCTGGAAAGTAAACCACTTTGATGTGGATGTTGCCTACCTTAACTCAGATCTCCAGGAGGAGCTGTACATGATTCCTCCTCCGGGGTTTGAGAACTTAAGGCAGGATGTTGTGTGGAGATTGCACAAATCCATCTATGGATTACGTCAATCTGCTAGAAACTGGAACATGTGCCTGAATGAAGCCTTAGAAGAGCTAGGTTTCAGGAGAAGTGTTGCTGATAGTTGCTTTTATTTGAGAGGTTCATGGGCAACACAAGAGTATTTGCTGATTTATGTTGATGACGTGCTATTTTTCTCAGAAACAGATGAACAGGCAGAGAAGTTTGCCAAAGAGCTAGGTAAACGATTCAAGCTTAAACAGCTTGGTGCTGTCAAAATCTATCTAGGTGTCAATGTTGAGCATGCACAGGATGGAAGTTTTTTGCTCAGCCAGAGAGGTAAAATTGAGCAATTGCTTCAGAAAATGAGGATGAGTGATTGTGCAGGAGTGAGAAGTCCTATGGAGACTAGTTTTGTGAAGGACAGCCAGCAAGTAGAACGCGCTGCGTTCGAAAATACTGAAGTGTTTCAGTCAGCCCTAGGGAGTTTGTTGTACTTGTCCCAGTGGAGCAGACCTGATATAGCATTTGCCGTCTATCTGCTCAGCAGGGAAGCATCAAACCCTAGTGTGCAAGCCTGGAATGGCATCAAGAGAGTTCTGAGGTATTTGCAGGAGACCAAAGACTTTTGTCTTAGGTTGCCAGCACAAGGAGAAGTCAAACTGACTTGCTTTGTGGACTCGGATTGGGCTAATCTTGAGGATCGCAAGTCTGTGTCTGGCCTAGTGGTGAAGTTTGGGAACTCAGTAGTTGGATGGAGGTCCAAGAAGCAAAGTCTTATAGCGCTCTCATCCACTGAGGCTGAGTTTAGTGCTCTTTCAGAGATGTGCAGAGAAGTAGAGTTCTATGCTTGTTTGGTGCAGGAACTCTGCAAAGTGGATTGTCTGCCGATACGTGTTTTCGAGGACAATCAACCATGCCTGCGTTTGGCAGAGTCAGGTCAGTTCAAGGCCAGAACTAAACACCTAGACATTCGCTTTCGGAATGTGTGCCAGAGTGTTCAGGAGGGATTAGTTGCACTGAAGTATTGTCCCTCTGCCAAGAACCTAGCTGATGGGCTCACGAAGCCGCTCACCTTCCAAAGACATGGGGAGTTTTGTGAAGGTCTGGGTTTGGGACGACCAAGGGTCGATTCTCCCCTCAGACGCGAGACAAGAGGGGGTGTTGGGTGTAGTGAAGGGTTAACCTTCTGTGTCTCGAGGCTGAGAGGAGGCGCTTACAAGGGAAGTAAGCCAGGACGTGACGAAAGCAGCTTGGAATGCTGTGAGCTGAGTGAAAAGTGAAAGCAGTTTTGTTACGCAGCTGCAGAGACAGAGGGAGAAGATGCAGCTTGAATCAGATGGAATTTCTTGTTTGTAAATATGCTACTTTTGAGCAAATAAAGTGAAATTAGGACAGAAGAAACGTGTGGGACTGCTTTTACTGCCCTTTCAACACGGACGCTGTGCAATTCTGCTAATTGCTTTACGACCTGCAGAGGCGTGCAGGGGAAGCGTGCCGGACGCCGAACAATAAAGCAATAAATCTACCTAACAGCCCTGATAAGAAGAAGTGCCTGATAACTTTCATATTTGAAACCACAAAGAAAGGCACACACCACAAACGAACGAATAAAGGCAGTGGGGCCTTCACCTACTTCAAAATGTGGCATCTGATTTCTCCTGCATTTTTAGTTCTGCTTGCGTATGCTACAGAGGATGTAAACAAATCTTACACTAGAGAAAAGCTCTGTAGCTTTTGTGTATCACTGTAGCTTTGTGTGCACTGTATCTTAAGTGTATTCTGCTGAAGGACAAAGCTTGCTTGGCGTTATTTGCTTTATGAATTAAGGTCCCAGTTTCCCAATACACACATTTGCTATTTCACCCCAACATTCTTCCTAAATGGATTCACACATTCATGCATTCAGTTGGGCCAGTGTTCACATCATCCTGTTTTACTTAGCATTTTGGTTTGAAAACCCAATTCCACTTTCTCTGCACTTCCTGCAAGATTGTATATTATTAAACAATAAAAGGCACAATTTTCCAAGAGAACATATGTCTTGGAGTTGCATATAATCCCCACCAGGCATCAGAAACTGGCAGATATTACTCGGAAATTTCAAAATTAATGCCCAGATAATTCATATCTTTTCCCCCTGGGTGGTCGCAAATATAAACTTGAAAGTATTTTGATACATTCATATAAAAGTTCATTTACACCTTACATACTTCAGATAGAAATGGTTCTGGAAAAATGCAGTTACAATCAGAACACAAAATTCTTCCTCTTCCAATTATTCACCATGGTTCAGTAGCATACCAGTGATTAGTTCATTGTACAGTGGTGCCTCGCAAGACGAAATTAATTCGTTCCGCGAGTTTTTTCGTCTAGCGAATTTTTCGTCTTGCGAAGCACGAAATCCCATAGGAATGCATTGAAATTCAATTAATGCGTTCCTATGGTCAAAAAAAGTCCAATCAAAGCCAAATTTGGTACAACAAGAGTTTATTAACTGCTCTTTAAAGTCACACATACTTTAAAGAGCATATCAAAAATTGAAGGAACAATAAATTAAGTTTCTAAACATGACAGGAAAAACATTTAAAAATCAAAAAAGGGTACATTACATTTTCTAAGACTCTGGGGGACCACTCGAAGAAGGTTCCTCTTCCACTCTTTGCTTCTTGCTGAGGAACCTGTCCATGGTCTGCTGCTTCATCCGCCTTTTCAGCAGCTCCCTGAGAGGCGACATGACCGTCGTATCAAAAATGTTCGCTTGGTCATGTGCCACGTGCTTGTCAGGGTGGTGCCGCTCTGCAAAAGCCTGCACCTCATTCCACTTCTGGCAAATGTCCCTCAGTTCTTTGGAGGACAGCCGTTCCTCAGTTGCTTCCTCCTCTTCCAGCGAGGCCTGCTCCTGCGCAACCTCTGACTGCAGTTCAACCAGCTCCTGGGTGGTCAGCTCGTGGTCGTGCTCCTCCACCAGCTCGCAAACGTCCTCCTCTGTGACCTCCAGGCCCATGGTCCTCCCCAAGGCAACAATGTCCTGCACCACTGTCGACTCTGGTGCATCAGAGTCACTTGGTGCCACACAGTCCGGCCACAGGCTGCGCCAGCGCAATTCAAATTCCTCTGGCTGATCCCCTTCCAGGCCGTGGTGATCATCTTCAAGCAGGTGACGATGTCGAAGTGGTCCTTCCAGAATTCCCGCAGGGTGATGGTGGTGCAATCAGTCACCTCGAAGCATCGCCTGAAAAGCTCCTTGGTGTAGAGTTTCTTGAAATTGGCGATGACCTGCTGATCCATCGGCTGGAGCAGTGGCGTGGTGTTAGGCGGCAGGAACATGATGTTGATGAAGCTGAACTCCTCCAACAAGTCCACCTCAAGGCCTTTAGGATGAGCAGGAGCATTGTCCATCAGAAGCAAAGCCTTCAGCGGCAGGTCGTTGTCCAGCAGGTACTGTTTGACAGCAGGGCCAAAGGCAAGATTGACCCAGTCCACAAACAGCACACGTGTGACCCAAGCCTTGCTGTTGGATCGCCACATGACACTCAGCCGCTCCTTGTCGACCTTGTGTTTCTTGAAGGCCCGTGGGTTCTCCGAGTGGTACACCAGCAGGGGCTTGATCTTCAGGTCGCCGCTTGCGTTGGCACAGAAGAGCAGGGTCAGACGGTCCTTCATGGGCTTGTGGCCAGGCAACTTGGCCTCCTCCTGTGTGATGAAAGTCCTTTTGGGCATCCTCTTCCAAAACAGCCCGGTCTCGTCGCAGTTGAAGACCTGCTGTGGAACGTAGCCCTCCGTCTTCACAACCTCCAGGAACTCCAAGGCAAAGTCTTCAGCCGCAGGAACATCAGAACTGGCAGCCTCTCCATGCCTGACCACGCTGTGGATTCCGGATCTTGCCTTGAACCGGTCAAACCAGCCTCTGCTTGCCTTGAAGACTTCTGGCTCGGCCGAGGTTCCTGGCTGTTCCCGGATGAGGTCTGCGTGCAAGGCCTTGGCCTTCTCACAAATCACGGCCTCAGTCACTGTGTCCCCTGCACGCTGCTTCTCTTCTATCCAGATGAGGAGCAACTTCTCGACCTCCTCCAGAACAGCTGGGCGGTTCTTCACGATCCTGGTGACTCCCTTGGCTGCATCAGTCGCAAGGATCTTCTCCCTCATCTTCAGGATGGTCCCGATGGTCGATGGGTTCCTGCCGTACTCCCTGGCGAGGTCCGTCACACGCATTCCACCGTCGTGCTTCCGGATGATCTCCTTCTTCATCTCCAGCGTCACCTTCTCCTTCTTCCTCTCGCCGGCCTCCGCAGCAGCAGCAGTCTTCTTGGGTCCCATGGCAGCACAGCTGTTACCTTTGTAAAACTCAGAAAAGAAAAAAAAATCAGCAATTCAAACCCACAACCAAGTCCTTGAATTCCAAACACCCAACCCAAAATCCAAAACCCCAAAAAAAGTTTTAAAAGTTTAACTTACGAAATGGCTGCAAATCACCAAAGTCTTCAAAATCCTCAAATGGCTGCAAAAGAAGTTTTGGGAAAGCTTTAAAAATCACCAAAGTCTTCAAAAACCTCAACTGTTCCCCAGCCCCTCCCCAACTGTTGCAAACCCCTCCCCAACTGTTGCAAACCCCTCCTCGACTGTTCCCCAGCCACCCAGCACACAGAAATTCAAAACCCAGAAAATTTTTCAAAAAAAACACAACATGGCCCAATGGTTACAGAAAACCATAAAAATTCAAAAAAAAGCACACAAGCTCCCAGATTCCTGCAAACCCCTCCTCAACTGTTCCCCCAGCCACCCAGCACACAGAAATTCAAAACCCAGAAAATTTTTCAAAAAAAAACAACATGGCCCAATGGTTACAGAAAACCATAAAAATTCAAAAAAAAGCACACAAGCTCCCAGATTCCTGCAAACCCCTCCTCAACTGTTCCCCCAGCCACCCAGCACACAGAAATTCAAAACCCAGAAAATTTTTCAAAAAAAACAACATGGCCCAATGGTTACAGAAAACCATAAAAATTCAAAAAAAGCACACAAGCTCCCAGATTCCTGCAAACCCCTCCTCAACTGTTCCCCCAGCCACCCAGCACACAGAAATTTAAAACCCAGAAAATTTTTTCAAAAAAAAACAACATGGCCCAATGGTTACAGAAAACCATAAAAATTCAAAAAAAAAGCACACAAGCTCCCAGATTCCTGCAAACCCCTCCTCAACTGTTCCCCCAGCCACCCAGCACACAGAAATTTAAAACCCAGAAATTTTTTCAAAAAAACAACAACATGGCCCAATGGTTACAGAAAACCATAAAAATTCCAAAAAAAACCACACAAGCTCCCAGATTCTTGCAAACACCTCCCCAGCTGTTCCCCCATCCACCCAGCACACAGAAATTTAAAACCCAGAAATTTTTTCAAAAAAAACCAACATGGCCCAATGGTCACAAAAAATCATAAAAATTCAAAAAAACCACACAAGCTCCCAGATTCTTGCAAACACCTCCCCAGCTGTTCCCCATCCACCCAGCACACAGAAATTTAAAACCCAGAAATTTTTTCAAAAAAAACAACATGGCCCAATGGTCACAAAAATCATAAAAATTCAAAAAAACCACACAAGCTCCCAGATTCTTGCAAACACCTCCCCAGCTGTTCCCCATCCACCCAGCACACAGAAATTTAAAACCCAGAAATTTTTTTCAAAAAACAACAACATGGCCCAATGGTCACAAAAAATCATAAAAATTCAAAAAAAACCACACAAGCTCCCAGATTCTTGCAAACACCTCCCCAGCTGTTCCCCCATCCACCCAGCACACAGAAATTTAAAACCCAGAAATTTTTTGAAAAAAACAACATGGCCCAATGGTCACAAAAATCATAAAAATTCAAAAAAAAACACACAAGCTCCCAGATTCTTGCAAACACCTCCCCAGCTGTTCCCCATCCACCCAGCACACAGAAATTTAAAACCCAGAAAATTTTTTTCAAAAAAAACCAACAGGGCCCAATGGTCACAAAAATCATAAAAATTCAAAAAAAACCACCCAAGCTCCCAGATTCTTGCAAACCCCTCCCCAGCTGTCCCCCATCCACCCAGCACACAGAAATTCAAAAATTCAAAGCCAGATTTTTTTTAAAAAAAAAATAAACATGGCCCAATGGTCATGAAAATCATAAAAATGCAGAAAAAAACCACACAAGCTCCCAGATTCTTGCAAACCTCTCCCCAACACCAAGTCCTTGAATTCTAAACACCCCAACCCAAAATCCAAAAAACCCAAAAAAAGTTTTAAAAGTTTAACTTACCAAACAGCTGCAGAAGAAGTTTTGGAAAAGCTTCAAAAATCCAGCAAACTCTTTAAAAAGCTCAGAAAGGCCACCACACCGCGTGCAATGTGTTGCTCCTCGAGGTCAAGTCGCAACTGCACCTCTTCCAGCAATGCACCCTGGGTTTTAACGGTTTTACGAAAAAGGAAACAAACTTGCAAGACGTTTTCGTCTTGCGAAGCAAGCCCATAGGGACATTCGTCTTGCGAAGCAACTCGAAAACGAAAAAACCTTTCGTCTTGCGAGTTTTTCGTCTTGCGAGGCGTTCGTCTTGCGGGGCACCACTGTACATGCTTTCTCCATTTACCTTAATACATCAATTTGCATGCAAACATTAAAAATCACTTTTCCTTCAAAGGAACAACACATAAGGTAACTTTGTTCAATATTGCCTTTCACCCAAGAGAAACCTAGGAGGAATCACCTACTGGGTAACTGTATCAATAAGCATTGAGGTATTTGTCTATCAATATCTTAATTCTGCTGTCACTAATGCATTTGACACCTTTTGATTCTGGCAACTACGCTGAGTATATGTGTGTCTCAGAACAGGAAAATTTCAAAGCATTGGACACTTTCCACAGCCTAATGTGAACAGGGAAATAAAAGTTATTTTGCCTAAGACCTCTCCTGGCATGTACACTTAGAAATAAAAAAAAGGGGGCCATCTCAATTTTCAATTAATAGATATCCAAGGAGTATCTTTCATGGGAGGGACATACTAAAAAGAGCACAAACAACATTCTAGGTCCCTACTCTTGCTGTTAAATTATGGATGGTTAGCTGTCCAGCCAGCCAAAAAAAGAGGTCTGCTCCATAATATATTATATTCTTAATTTTTAATTCAGAATTCTTTAAAAGCTAGTTTTTACTCATGAAAACCTCAACCAATAATCTGAGTGCATTTTAACAGCACATGCAAGACTTTGACTAAGTGTGTCACTGGTCACACACAGCCTTTATGCAATTCAGCTTTTACTATATTTAGTAAACTCTCTCTCAATAATAGCATCTTAATATATTACTTTCATTAATACTCATCAGCATAAACACTCAACCGTCTTTACAGCCCATTACCCAACTTTTCTCCTGTTCCAACATTCTCACTTCTCTACCCTCTACTTCTCACCTTCTTTTCTACTTCCCTCTACCTTCTCCAGCCCAGACCACTACTTCACCTTCTGCATAACATTTGGGACACAATTGTTCATCCCTTTTACAAATAAAAATTATACGCATTTCAAAAATATATCAGAAGAAGGGTAGTGCAAAAATCAATTTTGGTATCAAATAGTGTGCTATTCCTTATTCTAAGCTGAGCTGAGATTTATAATAATATCTAACTTGCACACCACCCCCTTTAAGTTTTGAAACACAGGTCTGCAAATATTGCAAATTCCCTTTGCTGCTACTTATAAAAGTATGTCAAATTCTGACATTTGGAGAATTTTAAAATCCCATCCCTTTTGACAACACTACTTTTTCTCATACATTTGTACATTTTTACTTTTGATCAACATTTAACAAGTGGTTTCTAAATCACCCAGGGTACCTTATGCAACAGAGTCAATAAGAAACAAACTTTTAACAAAAATATTAAGATACCAGGTAGCTCAAAGCACAGTGAATTGATGACATTCAGAGTCTGAAACCAGTACATGATTACATGATTGTATTAGTAATTGAAGCCTTCCCACCTTTAACATGAAAATATAAAATTTGACCTCATGAGCAACTCATGTCACTTTTAATGTTAAAGACCAAATAATCCCTTTTTTTTATACTTGTACTCTGCAAGATTCTAGGTGTTTTAAGGTCTGTTTCCCAACCCCCTAAGATGCAGCACAGTAGATGTGGCGGAATTGAGAACCCCTTCATGCAGGGTTCTATTCCTGGCGCCTCGGCACAGCACATATCTTTTTTCCCCTGGACCCCACATGTTGGCAATACAATACAAGCCAGCTGGACGCACCTATGCTGGTCACTGCCAGAATACAGAAAGGAGCTTAAAGGGGTTTTTTCAACTGTAGCTTGACATTTCCAATTGTCCAAAAAGAACAAACACTGCAAGGGGGTCGGTTTGCTGTTTGTTTTGTTTTGTTTTGTTTTTGTTTTTTCCCCCATAGCCCTGAGACACTCCGTCCACCTAGAGTTGTTTCTCACACAGTCACCTTTCTCCGCGTCCTGTTAGTGGCCTACACGGACTCGCGTCGCTAGGAACCGCACCTTACAAGGACCACACTTCGCTTCGCCAGTGGCTCTGAGCCCCAACGTCTCATCCACTCAAAACATTCACTGGAGTGTCCCCATACACAAATAAATGCACATACATACGAATCCCCATACACACACAAACCTCATGCACCTCCCCAATCCCCTTTACCCACAAACTTCCCAAAACCGGTGGCACTTTTATTGCTCTTCTACCGACAAACCAGTGGCACACTACTGCTCTCTACTGGTTAAACCCAGCGGCACCTTACTGCTCCTACTGGGCGGGGCTGATCAAACCCCTGACTCCCACAAAACAAGCTGTGGGGCCTACCTTTCCCCTGGGTACCCTTCTCCCGTGCAGCTGCTGTCTTTCTTCCGTCTCTGCTGCGTCTCCACTCAGATACGGGGTGGGGGGCTCCCCCTAGAAAATGTAGGGTGCGCGCTTGGAGCCACTGACGCCGACCGAGCTGTTCGCTGAGCAGTGACGCCCCGGTCCTTCGTCCTTGTCCTCAGAGAACGCGGATTCCCGGCTAATGCACCAAGAAATGTAGCCTTATTGGAGTTCACCGATTGGGTCTGCGTTGCTCCGGGACAGGAGGAAGGAAGTCAAAATGACACCGAGGTTGGTTCAAAGAAAGAGTTTATTCTGCTCTCCGGATAGCAGAAGGCACCTGCGTGGTGAGTCCACAGCAAGTACAAAGAAATGACAGGTTTCATGCAGTTTATATATCCTCCAGGCACCCTCTCACTCCTCCCCTAGGAGCCCAACCACGTCGGCCTACGTACACAGGTTGACATCACATATGTTCCTGCTCTGGTACTCTCAACCATAAAAGGATCTTCCTTCCTGTACTTCTGACCATAAAAGGATCTTCCTCTTCCTACTCTTATCTGGGAGGCAGAGGTCACCATTTCCGAGAACACACTCTGGCGTTATTCCCAGACGTGGGTCTGCGCGTCTTTGTGGTCAGCACATAAGATAAGGCACACACGCATCATCCCTGCTGTACTGGAATTTGGCAAGGTCACTCATTGCCGCCACGGACTGATAAGGGAGAGAGAGCTTTGTTCTTGTTATGGATTTACTCAACGGCTTGAGTTTATGCATTTTAGCTAAGGAAAAATAGGAATTTTGGTGCAGTTTAAAACTGCCTGCACAGTCAGTTTTGGGGTTTTGGAAACCCATTCCTTCACTAGAATAAACTTGTTTCAGGATTTGATTTCACTTCTTCAACCCTATTTGACCCCCAAAAAGGCAATGCGATGGCCATTATACTCCAACAAATCTAAGCCCTGGTTTGATCAGGAATGCCTCGCTATGAAGCGCTCTTTGTTGGGAAAATACAGGAACTATAGGTCTGCCAATCTAACCTCACTCCCTTCAGAGTGGTTTGAAGCTAAACGAAATTATAAAGCTTTGATTAAAGAGAAAAAGCTTCAGGCCCAAAGGGGAGAGTGGCCCCTCGAAGGAGAGAATCAGTCACCTTTTGGGAAATAGTTGCAAAAGGATGGCAAGATTCCCCTTCCAAAGTGGAATATACCATCTCTGTTGGGGTTTGGGAGTCATACTTCCAATCCTTATAGACAACTAACCAACATCTACAGGCTCTGTCCCTAACTCTGAGTGATACTGGTGCTGAGTGGCCCCTGGTGTCAACTGAAGAAGCTTGCAGGCTCATTCAATCTCTTAAACCTGGCAAAGCTCTTGGTGCAGACAATATTTCACTTGAGCTTCTTAGGCCAATGTTGATTGGTGGGCCCCACTGCTTGCTGCCTTGTTCACCAGCATAGATCAATCGGCTACCATCCCAGAGGATTGGGGACTAGCAATCATCATCCCATTACACAAGAAAGGGAGCAGATTGGACCCTGCTAATTACAGGCCAATTAGTCTCTAAGCATTATCAGTAAACTATATGCTGCCCACTTATGTAATAAACTTGAGGATTGGATGGAGCGAGAACATGTCCTTACAGAAGCACAAGCTGGTTTCAGGGCAAACCGGTCAACTTTAGTCCAAGGCCTAGTACTTCAACATCTTGCGGAAAAATATACCTCAAGAAAAGGATCTCTCTCCACAGCTTTCATAGACTTTAAATCTGCCTTCGATTTAATATCACGAGATAGGCTTTGGGAAAGACTAAGCGCCTCAAACATAGACAGACGTCTACTGTGTCTCATCCGCAGTTTATACGAAAACACTTGGGTACAGGTTAGGTGTGACCGACAGGGCCATTTATCCAAGGAAATCCAAATCTACCATGGTGTTAAACAAGGCTGCATCCTTGCACCTACTTTATTCAACTTCTATATTAACTCCTTAGTAGGAAACATGGAGAAAGAAATTGGCTGGCACACCCCTCCCGGTTCTCTTATATGCGGATGACGCAGTTCTAATTTCCTTCTCCTGTGTAGGCCTAAGAAAACTTCTAAGATCTTTCACTGTTTATTGTAATGCCGAACAATTAACAATTAACTATAGCAAATCCAAAGTTATGGTGTTCTCTAAAAAAAGAATGAGACACAAATGGAGAATTGACAATCGACCTATTGAACAGGTAAAGGTAAAGGGACCCCTGACCATTAGGTCCAGTCATGACCGACTCTGGGGTTGTGGCGCTCATATCGCTTTATTGGCCGAGGGAGCTGGCATACAGCTTCCGGGTCATGTGGCCAGCATGACAAACCTGCCTCTGGCGAACCAAAGCAGCACACGGAAATGCCGTTTACCTTCCCACCGGAGCGGTACCTATTTATCTACTTGCACTTTGACGTGCTTTCGAACTGCTAGGTTGGCAGGAGCAACAGGAGCTCACGGGGATTTGAACCGCCGACCTTCTGATCTGATTGAACAGGTTTCATCTTTTAAATACCTGGGTATAACCTTCCAGGAAAAGGGTTTGTGGCATTATCAGGTTAAAAATACTATTGCTGTCAGGGAACTGGGGGCTGAGAAGGGGAAAAGCTGGGGAAATACAGAGAAGCCTCCGATCATAGCAGCTGCACCGTTGTCAGAGGAGGATGACGAAGGGTTGTCAGGAAGCAATGAATCAGGGAGGGAGCAACTTCCGGGGT